CCACTGTGTTCCTGTTAATGATAAACTACAAATTTACTCTAAATTACTAAAATATCGATATTTTAATGTGAGAATCGATTCTAGAACATAAATGATTGGTATCGGAGGAATCGATATTTCAGGATCGATCCGCACATCACTAGTAAGAAGTCACTTTCATCTTTACGCGGCAGGACTGTAAGCTATCATCTGTGAGGCGTGAGCGGTGTTTGTTTTTAGCATAGTTCGCGGTGGAGAATAGCTGTTGACATAATGTGGATCCGAAGATCCATAATTTGCCTACCTGGGGTTGAAAGTCTTGATAAATGCAAGGTGTTTCGGCGGGTATGCCGGCTTCAGTGAGTGTGACGCTTATTTTCAGCCATGAAAAATAGAATATAATTTTATATTTCAATATCACAATACTCTTCCAATTTAGGACTAAAAGTTAAAAAGAACATAAATAAACATAAATAAAATGCACTTCAGCAAAATATTAAAAAAAATATATACCGGTATATATTTTCCCAAACCACGCAGAGCCGCACTATAAGGACTAAAGAGCTGCAGGTTGCCGACCCCTGGTGTAGACAGACAGGAAAGCGGGTCAGACTTGAATCTGCTCTCTTCTGTGTGGCCATGCCGCACATGGTCGCCTGCTCATGCTCAGTTGGCACCCCAGTAAATGCTGTTTCTTAGCTTTGACATATCATTCCTAACCAGGTGACTTTGCATCAAAGGATGCACTTGAAGCATTACTAGAGGCTGATAACTTGCATAGTATTTTAATCTAATTTAAAAACTCTAATGAAATTTAACCTTTTGGTTATTGTGATTAGAATGGTTTCAGTCTAAACATGAAATTAGTCAGAATAACTGAACTTGTGTGTGTTTTATCCTCCAGGTGAAGTCCGCATGCCTTCTGGCCGAACGGCCCGACCTCACATCACCGACAACAAGGACGGGACAGTTACTGTGAAGTACTCGCCAACTGAACGAGGCCTCCATGAGATGGACATCAAATACGATGGCAACCACATCCCAGGTGATCCCTCAGTGATCTCAGTGAATATGTGTTCTGTTTCTGAGGCGCACATTCTTTCGTCTTCAGCAGTGTTATCAGCAGACAGACTGACTTTCAACCTTTAATGTGAAAATCATTAAACATCACATTAACACACAGGTTCTCTGTGTGCTCTCTCTGTTACAGGAAGTCCACTCCAGTTCTATGTTGATGCTATTAACAGTGGTCATGTGACAGCATACGGTCCCGGCCTGAGCCACGGCACCATGAACCGACCAGCTACTTTCACTATAGTTACAGAAGATGCTGGAGAAGGTATCCCTCATATGTACACTAGTAGATATAAGAGCTGTTTAAAGCCTGAGCCCAGTTCTTCTCGGGCACCTAGACGGTGTTTATGACTGTATCTTTTATCTGAAATATGAAATGTGTATTTAATCAGAAGAAGACACCATGTGAAACTGAAGATAAGAAAGGCAGTAAGTGTTCCCACTCTTTCTACAGGAGGTTTGTCTCTGGCAGTTGAAGGTCCATCCAAAGCAGAGATCAGCTGTAAAGACAACAAGGACGGGACATGCACAGTGTCCTACCTGCCCACCGCACCTGGAGACTACAACATCATCGTCAAGTTTGATGACAAACACATCCCTGGCAGCCCCTTCACCGCCAAGATTATTGGTAAAAAATTCTCTCTCCTCGGGAAAGTCGGGCTTTTGTCCAGACAGCTCAGTTTTAAGCAACACTTTTTAAATGATTGTTCATCAAAAAGCAGCTGTAGCACCTATGATGTTGTACATTTTTATGATTTTAACAAAAGATGTCATTTGAATTTAATGTGTAATTTTTCAGAACTACCTCCAAAAATGTAGAAAATCTTCTTTTAAGAAAACTAACATGCTTAGCTTGAATATCTTCACAATCAATACCTTTCAGTACCTTCAAAACACATTAATTATGAAGCACGTGCAGAAAAAGATAGCTATTAACTGTGTACTTGGTCACATGTGGATTGCCTTTAGTTGATTTCTATCTCTGTACGCAGACAACACTCTGCTCTATCTTCCTGTGGGACACCAAATATACAAAACCCTTTCCAATCAAAGCAGATATAAATGATCTGATTTTTCTTCAGCTAAATTCAGAAAATAAATTATCCAGCATTTTTATCTTCAGTTATTCAGTCATTTACTCCTGTAAAAGGTTTCACTTTAACTCTAACAGCTTTAAAGTGTTCTGGAAAGTTTCTTTGTTTTGTCAAACCATGACGTGGCATGTGTTCTTCTTTTGGTTGTCTAACTTCTTGTAATTATCCTTCCTTGTCATTATAATATTTCCTAATTACATTATTTAACCTCCTGACCTTCACTGGCTCATTGTTAACCTGTCTATGTCACGATCTGGGGGGCAAATCATCAGGAGATGCAGGATGTGGACCCAAACGCAAGCACTGACAACGGCGTAGCTGTGAGAAAGTTTATTAATAATGAAAGGGGAAAATACAAACCAAAGCAGGGTATCGCAGGGAACTACGCTAACAAAACCTAAACTGGGAAGAGCTACGAAATAATAATACAAGAAATAAAAACCTGTGACTACAAACCTGAAAACATGGAGAGACACCTGGAGAAATACAGACACGCAGACGAACCAGTAACTAACAGAGGGAAACACAAGGCTTAAATAGACAGACGGATAACGAGGGAATGAGACACAGGAGAACACAGCTGGGAGTAATCAGACATGACCAAGGGGAAGCAAAACTCAATACATTGACATAGGACGCAGACTTTCAAAGTAAAACAAGAAACATAACAGACACGGACTTAACTAGGTGAGACAGCAACCATGGAACACAGAAACCAAAAGACTAGAAAAGATAAACAATGACAAAATCAAAGTTCAATAGTAATACAGAAACAAAACACTGGGTCACAGACCCAGGACAGTGACAGTCTAGGTTTTTAATTGTTCCTCCAAGTCTTGGCCATCAAAGAAAAGAAAAAGTATCTATATATGAATTATATCTATATTTACACATAGATTATTCCTGTCTTTCTTCTTTTTTGTGTGGTACGTGTATACAAGTGCTGAGGCAAAGTGGGGGTAATGATGAATATCATGAATCAGTAGAGTGCTGAGCATGGGGTAGGGTGTACATACTTCTTCCTGCTCCATTTTGGACTTGATGATTAAGTGGTTTATTTCATGTCACTGAGATTTTCTTTATTTATTGTATTTTTTTGTGTGCATATGTGTGTGTATGCAGGTATCAGTGTATATGTGTATGTTTGTATATGGTTTTTGTTTTATGTCAGACATAAAAGCTCATCATCATCATAATCAAAAGATTAAAAGATTTTCTGCTTAGGTGGTCCAAACTCTGGCATCGAGCTGTGAATGTTGATTTAGTCTGCATTTGGAGAGCACATTCCCCTGCCGAGACACCCCCCTCACCTTTTAAAGTTCCCAAGCTCCTTCTCATCATGCTCCACCTTTCAGTGTAGTTTTTTTAAAATTAGTCATGATAGTTGTTCAGTAAGCAGCACCTGTTACCCACGGTACGTCCATCACATGGCCAATCATTAGCTTAATTTCTGTTTTCAAATTGATGCCAGTTTAGTTTGTTTTAGTTTGTTTATGTCATTGCACGTTGTTTCATTTGTGTCGGTGCTGGCTTGTCTGTGGGTGCTCTAACCTGCATTAAAAGCTGCAGTATGAGTAAAGTTTGGCTGATTGAACTAAGCTGGTTTTCACTATTACTTTGTCGTCTCACATTTGATCTCCAGGTGATGACTCTATGAGAACATCCCAGCTTAACGTTGGCACGGCAACAGATGTTTCCTTAAAAATTATGGAGACGGACCTGAGCAGCCTGACCGCGACGATCAGAGCTCCGTCAGGAAACGAGGAGCCCTGCCTGCTGAAGAGGCTGCCCAACAGACATATCGGTCAGTTTCTATGCTTCAATGCTTCTCAGTCACCCTTTGGCAAAACGTGGACCAAAACCAAACAACATAGAATCTTTATTATTATCCAGATTTCATCAAATATTTGGTTTTCTAAATATTACATTCTTCAAATTATTACCCAGTCAACAAAGCTAGCTGTCCATCACTAATTCATCGGTGATAAAATTACCTTATTGTCCCTAAATAATAATGTCTTTATTAGGACTTGAAAGGAAAAACCTTCAGGTGCTGAAGGTCTGAAGAAGGCCAGATCTGAGACTATTGTTCATGTTTTTGGAGGTGACACAGGTGTGAGGATCAGAATATCGTCACAGTCAGCAGACAAGGCTGGACTGGGACAAAAAATCGGCCCGGGCATTTTGACTAGAGACCGGCCCACCAGGATAAATGTGACATCATTCAGGGGTAAAACCGCAAAGGATTCTGGGAACTTGTGGCAAGAGGTACTAGCGCACGCAGGCTTTCAATTGAACTCAGTTACACAGCGATAAAAAGAAACCCAAAAAATGGCAAGAAGCTGTTGTATTATTAACTGCAATAGCCGGTCGCATGACAGCCACGGGAAGCCGACGGGTAAAGAGATCTTTTTTTTTTATCGGATTACGTCGTTGAAGAGAAATTTTTAAGCCATGTTTCCGAAGTAAGAGCCGACGGATGGTCTGGATATACCAAATATAACGTCCCAGAACACTCCAGCTCACATGTTAGTCTGCTCCAAACATTTCCACAAAGGTCAGAGTTTTTTAGTCGTTAATACGTCATTTTTCTTAACATGATTGGTGATATAGGTTACAAGCAAGTCTGGCGCTGAACAGAAATTGTTGCGCTATGCTCCTTTATTTATTGTGTTTATTGTGCATAAATAGTGAATTGTCCTGACACAATATTGCGTTTCGCTTCTGTTATTATGGTACATTGACAAAAACATATACTTTTATTCACAGGATAAAACAGTTTTTTTGTATCACTAATTGTCCAGTACGATTACAGCATACAATATTATTGTCACTGCTACATTTCTGTGATGAACCAGAAATTATTTCCACTACTAATTAATTACCGTTGAGCTCAAAGGTCCTATTAATAAACGGTTAACGAATGTATATTTATGAAGACGATTTGTGAGACTGGTAAACTTACCTTTGTTCGTACGATGGTCTTTCGTTCTACACGGTGCATTTCAAGGTCCTGCACCCATCCGTCGGTAAACTGTACCTGGCCTTGTTGCAGTGACCTGAAGTTACTAAACTTCACGAGTGTATGCACTCACTCCAAGAACCGTATGATTATAAATATGAGCGTGGTGAAAGTTGGGCAGCACGCTAACGTCTTTTGTCCCTCTGTGTGCTCGTAAGGGTCTGACCCTTTCACTCCTTTGATTTTTTTCCTCGTATCTTTTCTTTGTCTTTTCGTCGAGTCTGTCTTTGTACGGACCGGCATTGTTCTCCTTTTGTTTTGTACATTCCTTTTTTGTGCGGCAAAGAAAAAACAGGAAGGTATTGGAACCGGAGAATGAACGTTTTGCGGTGCTGCAAATGCTTGCATTTGATGCGGTACTTGGATTGTTTTGCCACGAGTTCCCGGCATGCAATGCGCGAAAATCACGTGATTGCTAAACAAGGGGGCGGGTGAATCCGGCCTCCTCGGCTGTAATTGGTCCAGCCCAGAGTCGATCATGACCAATTGGCCAATCCAACACCTTTCATTATATATACCCTTCCTAAAAAAAAAATCCATCGGCCCATAAAAACAAAAAATCGCCAGCGGCCCACCGGGCAAAAGCCCGGTACGCCCGATGGCCAGTCCAACTATGTCAGCAGACACTCAGTTTTTACATTTTTCTGGGTTGAATACTAGCTTAGTGTTGGCTGTGCAGATGTTAGAAAAGAGGTGAATTTGTGTTATCAGCATATGATGCAGTTGTGTCTATCCTGGATGCAGTTTGCACTTTACCATCGCGTTCTCGTCCTTTTGTGCAATAAAAATAAAAGTCCACATCCACACTGGAAACTGCCCAACTACTTTCCTCCTCTGACACACAAACTGAAATCAGCAGATTGTAGCGTGCAAAAACCGATAAGTGGGACAGATAGGTAGGCAGACGATTCAAAAGAACTGAACTACTCGGATCTCAATTCCCATTCCTACACGGACGTGTGATTTTCTACAGTAAAAAGAATTCGCACAGCTGTACAAGAGACTCCACGTTTCTGATGACATGTCTCTTTCCTGCAGGAATATCCTTCACACCAAAGGAAGTTGGTGAACACGTGGTCAGTGTGAAGAAGAACGGGAAACATGTGACCAATAGTCCGTTTAAGATCATGGTGGGTCAGTCGGAGATCGGAGATGCCAGCAAGGTGAAGGTTTACGGTCAGGGGCTGGTGGAGGGACACGTGTTCGAGGTGGCCGAGTTCATTGTGGACACAAGGAATGCAGGCGAGGATTCAACCTTCATCCACACAATCAGAGCGCTGAAGCTCAGGATTTCAGATTCTAACCCTCAATGTCTGTGTTTGTGGCAGGTTATGGAGGTCTGGGTCTGTCCATCGAGGGTCCCAGTAAGGTGGACATCAACTGTGAGGACGTGGAGGACGGGACATGTAAGGTCACCTACTGTCCCACAGAACCAGGAAACTACATCATCAACATCAAGTTCGCCGACCAGCATGTGCCAGGTACGAAAAATTATTCCAAGTTTGATTTGAGGCAAATTAGTTTGTAGAAAGAGAATGTACCACTGCAGATGGTATAAAAGATGAATGCAGATGCCTGAAGTAGTTCTTCACAAGTACAAAACATTTTCCTGTAACTACCATAAAGAGTTAGATAGATCATTGGTTCAGATCCGATGAGCTAGGTGTTGATCTGATGCTCTGGACAAAGCATGAGGGTCTAAGAGTTTCGGCTTTCAGTTGTGATGTGATGTTTGTGTGAACAGGAAGTCCGTTCACGGTGAAGGTGTTTGGTGAAGGTCGGATGAAAGAGAGCATCACCCGGAAACGTCAGGCACCCTCCATTGCCACCGTGGGCAGCACATGTGACCTCAACCTCAAAATACCAGGTGAGCTGTGATATCTGCCTCCTCCTCATCCTCCTCCTGTCGGCTCCTGCCCTCCCTGCTTCCTTCTCTTCACCTCCTCGTCTTTGTCCACTATTTCCTCCTCCTCCTCCTTCCTGCTTCTCCTCTGGGTCGCAGGAAACTGGTTTCAGATGGTTTCGGCTCAGGAGCGTTTGACCCGGACGTTCACCCGCAGCAGCCACACCTACACCCGGACCGAGCGGACGGAGATCAGCAAAACCCGAGCCGGAGAGACCAAGAGGGAGGTGCGGGTGGAGGAGAGCACGCAGGTCGGAGGCGACCCCTTTAGAGACGTATTTGGAGATTTTCTAGGGCGAGAGAGTCTTAGTGGCTTCAGCGGGATGCCGACCGGCAGCCG